CAACTTCTCAAAACATTGTCCCTCAACATTTGTGCTCCACCTATTATAACTTACCTTCATTTTCGTATGACATCTTTTTATGTTTTTCCTCCAACGCCGTAGAATGTACTTATCTGGAATGTGTGAAACCCTTTTATGAATCAACACAATAATGGCATGTCTGCATAAAATCCCTTTGAACTCAAACAAATGACAATTGCAGCGAATATCACATGAAATTTCTTCAAAGTATACTAGAAAAGGAATGCGCCGATTACTATCTCCAAACCAAACATTTTCTAAAACTTGATACTCCTCACATGAATAGGACTTTTTCAGGAAAGATAATTCACAATAAATCTTCCCCGCAATGTCTTCTTGAAACTTTTTAAATTTTACAATTGTGTATGCATTTTGAAATTGTTTTTCAATGGGGTAATTAGTTATGCATGGTATCCAAGAATTGAAAGATCTAAAATTAGCCTCCATTTCCACTTTATCTCGCAATGCATTATCATATTGTTCCACAAATTGTTTCAATGTTGTTTTGGAATTTATATATCCATCGAAAAATGTATGCATACTTTCACTACGTTGGGTAGTAGACATACCTGCCTAGAAAGTATCTTTAAGAAATGCAAGCACCTAACGTACTCTTTCTTTATACAATCCAGATAACCATTCATTCTCATGAAGGTAATACACATAAATGAATTTGTTCCACCGTTCTTCGAACTCTTCACGTGTCAACGAATCATATACAATATTTTATAATGTAAACTTTATAGTTTCATATTCATTATACCCTCTTAACTTCTCAGGCAGTTTCTTCATTATATGCCACAAACACCACATATGTCTTGTACCAGGGAAAACAATCTCAATTGCATTTTGCAAGGCCTTATCTTGATCAGTGACAATTCCATTAGGAGCAACATCCATGCATTCAAGCCAAGAACGAAATAGTGATACAAATGTCTCTGTGTCCTCATGTGAAATTAACCCACAGCCTAATAATGTCGAATGTCCATGATGATCAACCCCCATAAAAGCAGCAAATGGCATATCATACTTATTCGTCAGATACGTTGTGTCGAAGGTCACAACATCACCGAAATCTTTATATGCAGCTCTGCATCTAGCATCAACCCATAGCACATTCTTCAATCGACTCTCTCCATCTACATCAATCATGTACCAGAAATTTGAATTCTCCTTTTGCATTTTCATAAAATAATCTAGCACTGCCGAAGCATCTCCAACTCCAAGTCGTAGCCTTCTAACTTTTTCAATGTAATTCCTACAATCTTTTTGAAGAAATGAAAAATTCTCTACACCTCCTACCTCAACTGAACATGAATGAAAATTTTTACACGAACTAATCCCAACCTGATCATTAACTTCAAGCCTCCTTTTCACAAAAGGTTGTATTGTTCGATTTACCTTGAAATATCTTCTTTTCGTCGGACTTGTAAGATCATAGTTATGTTCAAGCACAACTGATTTAATTTCCCATTTGTATTCACCATTCAAAGATGCACTAATCCGACTCTTACAATCTGTTTTTGCAACAGGTTATTTTTTCAAGGTATTTCTGCATTTACTTCTCTCCTTCCCAGAACAAGAACACGCCACTGTCACGTATCTCATAATTCCATCATCTCCTTTCTTTGACGTACGTATCATTGCTTCAAAACCCATTTTATTCCCATACCTTCTGTAATACTTCACCAAACTATCAACTGAATCAAACACCATTCCAATATGAGGCTCCACTTCTTCCTCTGCACATCCCGTATCTCCTAATTCATCACATTCATTTTCCTGATTCAATGGTTTTATAATAAAGAAAATTAGAATGTGCTAATACAACACATCATAATAAACAATACAATACACCATATTTAAAAAAGTTTCAAACACAATTTACCTCAACATCATTGAAACGAGGCAAACTGGACTCTTCTATAGTCAGTTATTTCATGCACAACTAATACAAGTTTTCGCGTTACGAATCTAGTTCACAACTGTCGCCAACAAATATTATCTATCAAACATATATTCAATCCAAAATAGAATATGAAACTAAACAAATATATAAAATAAGTCAAAAAATCTTTACCTTAATAAAAAATCCGAGCTTTAACAGGTTTGATAGAAGTGTTTTGTTTCTTGGTTTGCTGCTGGTGCTTGGCTGTTGAGGAAGCAACCGACGTCGAAGTAAGGAATCACAACACGCAACGAAGGTGAAGAGCAACGAAGGAGAAGCGAAGAAAATAAATGGCGCAGACGAAGAATAAAAGAAAAATAAATGACAGAGACGAAGGAGGAGAGAAGAAAAAAAAATTGGCGCTTACAAATGAAGCGTATTAGACAAGCCATTCATTAATATTAATTAAACAAAAAAAAATTCCAACAAATATGGACGCCAGTCCATGTAATGCAGACGACAGTTCAAATGACATGGATTGGCATCCATACACAAGAAACGACCATCCAAATTACATGGACTGACGTCCATATTTACATTATATTTTAAAATAATTTTTTAAATAATTAAAATATTTTTAAATAATTAAAATTTCAGAAACTAGGGACGGCAGTCCATCTAGTGTTGGTTGTTCAGTAGTCCACCTTCTCAACATCTTTGTGGACGGCCGTCCGTTATATTTTAAAACTATTTTTATAAAAAAAATTCACAAACAATGGACGGCAGTCCATCGTTTCAGGACGCCCGTCCATAAAATTTGGATGGGCATCCATTTTTTTTTTTTAAAACAAATCAACTTTTTATGGACGGTCGTCCATTCCACTATGAACGACCGTCCAGGATGTATGGACGCCCATCCACATAATGTGGACGAGCGTCCATATTAACTGGACTCCCATCCATAAAAGTTGGACGGGCGTCCATTGTTTTTTTTTAAAAACAAATCAACTTTTTTATGGACGGTCGTCCATTCCACTATGAACGACCATCCATAAAAGTTGGACGGGCGTCCATTGTTTTTTTTTAGACGTCCATTTATGTCAATATTCAATCCACCACGTTCGTCCAATGTGGCAACTTCCACGTGTTTCAGTGCAATTTTTCGGTGCAATTGTTCGGTGGGTATAGCATTTTTGAAGGAAAAAAGAGAAGGGAAGGAGGGAAAAGACGGAGAAGAAAGGAAAGAAAGAGAAGGGAGAGATGAAGAAGAAGATAAGAGAGAGAAGAGAAAAATGAAATAAAAAAATTAGGGATTTATGGATTAATTTAAAATTAATGATGAACATTAAAATTTATTTTTTAGTTGGATATAAAATTACTATATTGCCCTTAGTTAAATGGATTTACTAACAGATTTGGATAGAAAGTGGGTAATTGTCATTTTCAAACCTTTTGGATATCAAATTGTATTTATGGCAAACTATGTGTGGGTACATGTCGTTCAGCTTATATTTTAATTTTTATAAGAATAGATTGTAAGTGCATCTCCAGCCCATGCTATTTTAGTGTGAAAAACGCCAAAATAGCGTGAAATGCTGCTCCAATGCAGCGTTATTCGCCGCACCAAATTGGCGTGGTACTGTTCATGCAACCAAAAATTTTATTTTATTTTTTGTTATTTGAATTTAAGTTAATATGATTATTATTTATATTAATATTTATAATAATAAATTTATAATAATGATATAATTCAAAAAATGATGAAAAATTAAAAATAAAACTTTATTCAATGCAAATATTAAACTGCAATAACTCAAAATAAAAATTAATACTAATTTAAAAACACTAAAATTAAAAGAAAATACAACATAAACTAAAATAACAATTTAGTATTCCAGTAGATTAGTTCTGAATCCTATAAGATCATCAAAATATTGAAAAGAACAGAGGCTCACCATGCTCTTTAAAATGCATTAATTGATCATTCGTGGGAAAAACATACTAATTCGGAAAATTAAATTACTATCAATATGGAATACTTAATTTTATTAAATTAGTATAATTTTCAAAGTAATTATTATTTAATAAAAATATCATTCCCAATATTTAATTAATGTATACAAAAATAATGAGTGAAATAGATTAATTATTGGTTATTACAATGAAATAAAAAGAAAGAGAATATTCTTTTTGGTGTAATATTTGGTGTAGTGGGTTGGAGATGCAATTGTGTTTTACATCAAAAATCACACCAATTTGGTACAAAACTTGCACCAATTTGGTGCAATGGGTTGGAGATGGTCTAAAGCATCTCCAACCCACGCCATTTGGGGGTAAAAAACACCAAAATGACGTGGGTTTTTGCTCCAACCCAACTCTAAGTGCCACGCCAATTTGATGTGGCACTGTAGCAATATTAAATTTTTTGTTTTTAAATTTTGTTAAGTTAATTTGATTATTAAATTTTACACAAAAAATCACACCAAATTTTATTATTTGAATTTAATTTAATTTGATTATTATTTATAATAATAAATTCATAATAATAATATAATTCAAAATTTTCTTACTCGACATAGACAAATCAAGGATACAGAGGCTCATCATGCTCTTCGAAATGCATTAATTGATCATTTGTGGGAAGAACATACTAATTTGGAAAATTAAATTATTATCAATATGGAATTTTATTTTTGTGTTGTCTTTTTTTTTTTTTTTTATATCATTTTATATTAGATGTAATGTTTTTCTATATTAAATATAATGTTTATTTGATTAAATAAATGCTTAATTTTATTAAATTAATATAAACCTTAAAGTAATTATTATTTAATAAAAATATTATTCTTAATATTTAATTAATATATATATAAATAATGAGTGAAATAAATAAATTATTAATTATTATAATAAAAAAAAGAAAAAAATATTATTTTTGATGTAATGGATTGGAGATCCAAAGTATTTTACACTAAAATTTGCATCAATTTAATGCGACGGGTTAGAGATGGTTTAACACAGTATAACTGTCATGTCTTTAAGTCCTTCAATAATTAGGTCAAAGTAAAATGATCCAAATCCATTAGAAATACTATTTAAAGTTTTACGGGGTAACCTAAGACCCAACCTTCCATGAATCATGATCCGTTTAATGCGTTACCGAATGTTCCCCACCAAAACCCCCAGTACTTGCGACTCAAATGTAAATGAAACACACCTCCAAAAACGCAACGTGTACACTCACCACTCGATTGATGAAATTCCTTACAGAGACCTCCGCTCCCTCAACTCCCAACTTGCTTCATACATCCGCACCAACAATTTTCTTTCCACATGGACTCTATTTTGTCACATGCATTGCGCATGCCTTAACCTTGATGCTTATACTTTCACGCCAGTTTTGGGCGCTTGTTCTTCTTTGCCTGGACCAGAACGCGGCAAACAAGTCCATGGTTTAATGATCAAAACTGGTTCAGATACTGGAACTGTGTCCAAGACTGCGCTGATGGACATGTATTCCAAGTTTGGGTTCTTGAATGAATCGGTTAAAGTTTTTGAAGAGATGGAGTTTAAGGATGTTGTCACGTGGAATGCTTTGCTTTCTAGCTTCTTAAGGCACGGTCTTGCTAAGGAAGCGTTTGGTGTTTTTGAGGCAATGAGAAGGGAAAGAGTTGAGGTTAGTGAGTTTACTTTAACTGCTGTTCTTAAGGCTTGTGCTTCTTTGAAGGCATTTGAACAAGGGAAACAGGTGCATAGTTGGGCTGTTGTGTTAGGTCGGGATATGGTGGTTTTGGGTACTGCACTTATTGATTTCTACTCGGTTGTAGGATGTATTAGTGATGCCATGAAAGTGTTCTATAGTTTTGATGGTAGAGTGGATGATGTTATGAGAAATTCCTTAATTTCTGGATGTGTTCGAAATAGGAAGTATGAAGAGGCGTTTTCGATTATCAGTACAATGAGACTAAATGTGGTTGCACTTACTAGTGCTCTTTCTGCTTGCTCTGAGAATTCAGATTTGTGGATGGGGAAGCAGTTCCACTGTTTGGCTATTCGTTTTGGGTTTACTTCTTATACCCAACTATGCAATGTCCTGCTAGACATGTATGCAAAATGTGGTAAAATATCGGATGCTGGGTCCCTGTTTGATAGAATTTGTCGGAAAGATGTTGTTTCTTGGACAAGCATGATAGATGCATACGGCAGTCATGGGCATGGGCTTGAAGCTCTTAAATTGTTCAAAAAGATGGGTGAAGAAGGAAGTGGGGTTTCGCCAAATTCTGTGACCTTTCTTGTTATTTTATCAGCTTGTGCACATTCTGGATTGGTTGAGCATGGCCGAGAATGTTTTAATTTGATGAGGGAGAAGTATGGTTTGAATCCGGGTCCAGAACATTATGTCTGCTTCATAGACACTTTAGGCCGGGCTGGTCAAATAGAAGAAGTATGGTGTTTGTTCAATGATATGGTTAAGAATGGTACCAAGATCACACCTGCTGTATGGGCAGCGCTAGTAAATGCTTGCAGTTATAGTTTAGATGTCACAAGGGGAGAGTTTGCAGCAAAGCATCTCTTAGAATTAGAGCCAGATGTGCCTGCGTATATCGTGCTGCTTTCAAATTTCTATGCAACCATTGGAAAGTGGGAAACTGCAGAACACTTGAGAAGCAGTATGAGAAAGATAGGATCGCCTAAGGTAGTAGGGAGTAGCTGGGTCAGTTGAAAACTTATTTAATGAATTTGGATCTTCTCTTGGTGGATTGTAATCGATGATATAATTGTTATGTTTTTTTTTTAAATGATCGGAGGTGTTTGGAACAGTTTACGTACACCTCAACTAATTTCTCGAGATCTTAAAACTACTGATCGTGTAAGAACTTCAATGACCATCCTTATTAGTAACCGAGAAAGGATTTAAACTTAAAACCTCTTAAGTAATACACTCAAGAGATTTTATCAAACCATTCGATCACCCAGGGTTTGGTTATTATTATGTATCTCTAGATCCTTCAAAGATTAGGTTAAATAAAGTATTATTTTTATGATAATTTTGCTAGGTAAAGTCCCTATATTTTATTTTTTATGAGAATAGATTGTAGCACGTTATAACTGTCATGTCTTTAAGTCCTTCAATAATAATAATGCTATGCTTACTCACGATCTTACTAACCTGTGTAAATATAGAGTATAGTATAGGTACCATAAGCATAGTACGAGTATCATATGTAATTTTAACAAAGGATAGTTAGATGGTTAGTAAGATCGTGAGTAAGCATAGCATTACTCCCTTCCATAATTAAGTCAAAATAAAATGATCCAAATCCATTAGAAATACTATGTACTTTTTAGGGGGCGTTTGGTTGGCACTAATGTGAGATTATTGGGGTAATGTCATCTTATATTACTTGATTATCACGTTTGATTGACAAATAATATAAAATTCCGGTAATCTTTAAATACCAATAGTAGTTACTATTGGTAATATTGGAGGTAATCTGATTACCTCCATTTTCTTAGGTGTTCTAAGATTACCAAGATTATCTTTTTTTGTTACAATTTTATCCCTTGTTAATAAAAGTTTTGGACAATAATGCCCTCATTTTAAAATAAATTTACATTAATATCCTATTTCAATTTTACCCTTATTTAACTAAAATTTTGGACAATAATGTCCTTATATTTAAAACAATTTACAGACCACCATTGCCACTCAGCCACCACCACCACTGCCACCCAGCGAACACAGTCGATAGCGCCAACCACCACGGACCGTCGCCAAAAAGTCACTGGAGTCCCTAAAAAAAAAAAGAGATTCGGTGGCAGGCTTCGATATGGCCGTTTTCGGCCATATTGATGGCTGAAAAAGGCCATATCGGGCCAGATCTATTCTGGCCATTTCCGGCCATATCGATGGAACTGGCCTTTAACAGTCAAATCCCTAGCCATTAACGGTCAGATCTGGGCTAGATCTGGCCGTTAACGGCCACGGACATGGTCGTTAACAGTCAGATCTATTCCGGCCGAAATAGATCTAGCCGTTAACAGCCAGGTCTGTGGCCATTAACGGCCAGATCTCGCCCAGATTTTATTGCTAACGGCCAGATCTGGCTTGATATGGTCGTTTTCGGCCATCAATATGGCCAGAAACAGCCATATCGGAGCCTCTTGATCATAGTGAGCTTCTCACGGGGACTTTCAGAGCTTCCGACAATGGTTTGCGGTGGCGGCAAGAGGTGGGGGTGATTTTGTAATAAATTAAAGTTTTATATAAGCGGGGGTGTTTTAACTAAATCTGAAATATTAGGGGTTAAAAAAATTATTCAAAAATTAATAATAAAAATAATATTATATTAATATTTGAAAAGGGAACAATTTAGTAATTTAAATCAATTTATTCCACATAACCAAACATATTAATATAGCATACTCACCAACTAACCAAACACATTTTCCTAAGGGAGTACGACATCTTCCCACCCAGGGTTTGGCAAAATGACATTTGCCCACCCGCCAAGTTTTAAAACGACACTTTCCCACCCATAGTTAAATTCAGACGTTAATTTTAACAGTAAAAATGGTATTTTTGTTAGTTTACAATGTATATATATACTGTTAATTAATAAATCTGCAAATATAATATATAAATTAATATCATATGAATATTATGAAAAAAAAATTAAACTTAAATCTTCCATACAATAAAATTTTACATATTTCTTCCATATAAAGAAATCTTCCATATAAAAAGATTATACATAATTCTTTTGTAAGACCAAATTTGCTTTCCATAATTCTTCAATACAACCAAGAAATTACTTCACATAAACCTTTCACACAATCCAGATTTTGCTTAACACATAACTGCTATAAAAAAATACAGAATTTAGTTTGCGTGAGGAATTTCATCTAATAGGTAGTGGGTGAGTTGGCTGTGAGAAGGTTATAAATGATGGGCAATCGCCGGCGACCAGGTAGTTACACACAACAGCAATCAAATAAAGTAGAGGGAGAGAATTGAAACAGAGAAGGAAAAAAGAGCAAAGGATTCTGCATTCACAAATTTTCAACCCAAAATTTGGTTCACATACATCTTCCAAACAACCCAGAATTTGGTTTACAGAAATATTCACTTCTAATTCCATCAAAAATTCCTCCCACTTCAACTCCATGAACATAAATTCATAATAAACAAAACAAAAGAACAAGAAGATACTAAATCAAACCCATAAAATCCATGAAAATAAATGCAAAAATAAATCCTTTTGACATTGGCTATGTGACATAAATTATAGAGCAAGGCTGCCAACACTAGCGGCTGGGGTCGTGAGTAATTGTGGTGGGCTTATTGGAGGAGAGAGGGAGGTTGCCACCCGAGGCCTTTTGATTTGACAAAGAAATTTTTTTTGGGCAAAAGGGAGTGGCGCTAGAACAAATATGACACCGTTGGTGACGCTGCTACTGGCTTGCCATGAACAAGAGGGAGTGGTGGCGTCGGTTAGGCGGTGGGTGAGAGAGATGTTCTTGCATAAAGATGATAGTGAATTGGGTTTTTTTTTTTTTTTTTTTTAAAAAGATTTAGAATATTTTTTAATAATAGCAAAGTTTATAAAATTATAAACTCAAATAAAAAGGGTATTATAGTATTTTATAATTTTATTCTTGTCAAATAACAGATTTCATTAACGGATCTTAACGATGGGTGGGAAAGTGTCGTTTCGCCAAACCTTGGGTGGGAAAAAATAGCTCTCCCTTTTCCTAAAGATTTTCAGGAGGCGTTTGGTTGGCGGTAATGTCAGATTATTAGGTTAATATCATCTGATATTAATTGATTACCACGTTTGGTTGTCAAGTAATATAAGATTCCGGTAATCTTCAAATACTAATAGTAACTACTATTGGTAATATTGGAGGTAATCTGATTACCTCCATTTTCTTAGATATTCTGAGATTACCAGGGTTATCCTTTTTTGTTACAATTTTATCCTTTATTAATGAAAATTTTGGACAATAATGCCCTCATTTTAAAATAAATTTACATTAATATCCTATTTCAATTTTACCCTCATTTAACTAAAATTTTGGACAATAATGTCCTTGAATTTAAAACAATTTACAAACCACTGCCACTCAGCCACCACCACCACTGCCACCTAGCTACCATCGCCTACAACGGCCAACCACCACGGACCGCCTCGGAAAACTAGTCGGAGTCCCTAAAAAAGAACGAGTTTCGGTGGGAGGCTCTGGGAGTCATCGCTATGGCCGTTTTCGGCCATATTGATGGCCGAAAACGTCCATATCAGGCCAGATCTATTCTGGCCATTTCCGACCAGATCTCGCCTGATATGGCCATTTTCAGCCATCAATATGGCCGGAAACGGCCATATCGAAGCCTCTTGATCACGGTGAGTTGCTGATGGGGACTTTCGGAGACTTCCGACGGTGGTCTGCGGTGGCGGCAGGCAACGGCAGGAGGTGGGGGTGATTTCGTAATAAATTAAAGTTTTATATAAGCAGGGGTGTTTTAACTAAATATGAAATATTGGGGTTAAAAGAAATTATTAAAAAATTAATAATAAAAATAATATTATATTAATATTTGTAAAGGGGACAATTTAGTAATTTAAATAACATACCCACCAATTTATTCCCCATAACTAACCATATTAATATAACATACCCACCAACTAACCAAACACATTTTCTTAAAGATTCCCAGTAATCTTTCAAGGTAATCTATCTTTCCGGTAATCCAACATTCCCAGTAATCTAACATTCCTGAACCAAACGCCCCCTCAAGGTAATCTATATTTCCAGTAATCTAACCTTCTTGAACCAAACACCCTCTTAGGGGGCGTTTGGTTCGGGTGTATCTGTCATGACTAGGGGTAAGTGATCTTATATTACTTGATTTCCATGTTTGGTTGTCAAGTAATATAAGATACCGGTAATCTTTAAATACTAATAGTGATTACTATTGGTAATATTGGAGGTAATCTGATTACCTCAATTTTCTTAGGTTTTCTAAGATTACCAGAGTTATCTTTTTTTGTTACAATTTTATCCCTTATTAATAAAAATTTTGGACAATAATGCCCGTATTTTAAAAGAAATTTACAATAATATTTTATTTCAATTTTACCCTTGTTTAATTAAAATTTTAGACAATAATGCCCTTATGTTTAAAACAATTTTCAGACCACCATTGCCACCCAGCCACCACCTTCGATAGTGGGCCAACCATCACGGGCCTCCGCCGGAAACTCGCCGAAGTCCCTAAAAAAGAACCAGATTTGGTGGGAGGCTTCGATGTGGCCGTTTCCGGCCATATTAGTGGCCGAAAATAGCCATATCAGGCCAGATCTAGCCGGAAGTGGCCAAATCTATTCTGGCCATCTCCGGCCAGATCATTGGAACTGGCCGTTAATGGCCAGATCTATTCTGGCCGGAATAGATCTGGCCGCTAACGTCCAGGTCAATGGCCGTTAACGGCCAGATCTCGTCCAGATCTGGCCTGATATGGTTGTTTTTTACCATCATTATGGCCAGAAACGACCATATCGAAGCCTCTCAGTCACTGTGAGCTACTCACGGGGACTTTCGAAGACTTCCAGCGGTGGTTTGCGGTGGCGGCAAGAGGTTGGGGTGATTTCATCATAAATTAAAGTTTAATATAAACGGGGGTGTTTTAGCTAAATCTAAAATATTGAGGGTTAAAAGAAATTATTCAAAGATTAATAATAAAAATAATATTATATTAATATTTTTAAAAGGGATAATTTAGTAATTTAAATAACATACTCACCAATTTATTCCCTATAACCAAACATATTAATACAACATACCCATCAACTAACCAAACACATTTTCCTACAGATTTCTAGTAATCTTCTAAGATAATCTATCTTTCCTACAGATTTCTAGTAATCTTCTAAGATAATCTATCTTTCCAGTAATCTAACATTCTTAATAATCTAATATTCCTGAACCAAACGTCCCCTCCAAGTTTTACGGGGTAACCTTAGAAGTTAGACCCAACCTTCCATGAATCATGATCCGTTTAATTCGTCACCGAATGTTCCCCACCAAAAGCCCCAGGACTTGCGACTCAAATGTAAATGTAACACACCTCCAAAAACGCAACGTATACACTCACCACTCGTTTGATGAAATTCCTTACAGAGACCTCCGCTCCCTCAACTCCCAACTTGCTTCATTCGTCCGCACCCGCAATTTTCTTGCCACATGGACTCTCTTTTGTCACATGCATGGCGCATGCCTTAACCTTGATGCTTATACTTTCACGCCAGTTTTGGGCGCTTGTTCTTCTTTGCCTGGACCAGAACGCGGCAAACAAGTCCATGGTTTAATGATCAAAACTGGTTCAGATACTGGAACTGTGTCCAAGACTGCGCTGATGGACATGTATTCCAAGTTTGGGTTCTTGAATGAATCGGTTAAAGCTTTTCAAGAGATGGAGTTTAAGGATGTTGTCACGTGGAATGCTTTGCTTTCTAGCTTCTTAAGGCACGGTCTTGCTAAGGAAGCGTTTGGTGTTTTTGAGGCAATGAGAAGGGAAAGAGTTGAGATTAGTGAGTTTACTTTATCTGCTGTTCTTAAGGCTTGTGCTTCTTTGAAGGCATTTGAACAAGGGAAACAGGTGCATAGTTTGGTTGTTGTGTTAGGTCGGGATATGGTGGTTTTGGGTACTGCACTTATTGATTTCTACTCGGTTGTAGGATGTATTAGTGATGCCATGAAAGTGTTCTATAGTTTTGATGGTAGAGTGGATGATGTTATGAGAAATTCCTTAATTTCTGGATGTGTTCGAAATAGGAAGTATGAAGAGGCGTTTTCGATTATCAGTACAATGAGACTAAATGTGGTTGCACTTACTAGTGCTCTTGCTGCTTGCTCTGAGAATTCAGATTTGTGGATTGGGAAGCAGATCCACTGTTTGGCTATTCGTTTTGGGTTTACTTCTGATACCCAAATATGCAATGTCCTGCTAGACATGTATTCAAAATGTGGTAAAATATCGAATGCTGGGTCCTTATTTGATAGAATTTGTCGGAAAGATGTTGTTTCTTGGACAAGCATGATAGATGCATACGGCAGTCATGGGCATGGGCTTGAAGCTCTTAAATTGTTCAAAAAGATGGGTGAAGAAGGAAGTGGGGTTTCGCCAAATTCTGTGACCTTTCTTGTTATTTTATCAGCTTGTGCACATTCTGGATTGGTGGAGCAGGGCCGAGAATGTTTTAATTTGATGAGGGAGAAGTATGGTTTGAATCCGGGTCCAGAACATTATGTCTGCTTCATAGACACTTTAGGCCGGGCTGGTCAAATAGAAGAAGTATGGTGTTTGTTCAATGATATGGTCAAGAATGGTACCAAGATCACACCTGCTGTATGGGCAGCGCTAGTAAATGCTTGCAGTTATAGTTTAGATGTCACAAGGGGAGAGTTTGCAGCAAAGCATCTCTTAGAATTAGAGCCAGATGTGCCTGCGTATATCGTGCTGCTTTCAAATTTCTATGCAACCATTGGAAAGTGGGAAACTGCAGAACACTTGAGAAGCATTATGAGAAAGAAAGGATTGCCTAAGGCAGTAGGGAGTAGCTGGGTCAGTTGAAAACTCTCATGAAAATGCCAGTAAACTAAGTTTGAGAAAATTCAATCACTAGCTACAAAAAATTCCTCAAATGTTTTTTAAGTCAGTCAAATTTTTATCTTTTCATTGTTAAGCACATCAGGATGTTGAAGTGGGTGTTTAAATTAGTGCTGGGCATTTCTTTTGAGGAAGATGACTTGTGCAGAGTTTTTATTTATTTTGATTACTGAACAGTAAGAACAGAGATTGGATTTCAATCCATAAGAAGACTCGTAAACTGCGTTTGTCTTGGTCCTCAACTAAATTAGCTGTTTCATCTGCGTTTCCTTTGTTGCAACCACATCCAGATGCTCCATCTTTCTCTTGTAATCAGTGTTTACTGTTTACACTTGGAAATTCTCGCAATCACCAATTAAAGAAAAGTCATTAACAATGTTCAGTTTTGAAGGCTATTGAAGAGTTATTTGATTCTCCATTTCTTGGATCAATCGGCGCTTGACCTTGTCATTTGTATCTTATTGAAACATTTCATTCCAAGAAACTCTACATTATACTTCAATGTATGACAAGGATGTGTCACCATTCTTAGGTATAAACGAGTAGAATTCTTGTTTTGTACTTCTCCATTATTAAGTCAATGATCATTTAAGAAACAGGAGAAAAATAAATTTTGGTTCAAAGAGTAAACGGTGTTTATTCATTATTCATGGTAGTAAATTAATAACAATTCCTTAATTTCAAGTATTTCGAGTGATTCAAACTTTAATTCTTTAATTTCAAGATGGATGTTTATATTAATTTTTAGTCAATTCCTTTACAGTTAAGGGGTTTTTTTCACCACCATTTTTTACAAACAAAAATTTGACAACCATTGATGCAAACTTGAGGTAGCTGAACCTAATTACATGACCCCAAACCTTTTATGTTAAATTAAAAAGAAGAGGTTGGTGAGTCAAAATTAGTAGGCTTGGTCTGATCAAAGATGAAGATTTAACAAACGTTTTTCTTATAGTTGTTGAGATTGCAGCAAAGTCAAAAGAACACCCCCCAATTTTCTTAATCTGTAGGCCAATAAGTTAAATGAATTTCAATCATGCTTTGCAAAGCATGCATAAGATATTCAGAAAAAAAGACAGGTTGCATACCATATATGACTGACTAATTAATCAAACTATGCTCTGTTGCTTAAATTCCTGTGTCACTATACTTCATTTTTCTCATGCAAAATTCTTATTATCTACCATTAATTCCAGGAACCTCTGCAGTCTACTTTAGTTTCTTCATCAACATCAAACCATGCTTAGAGCTTTGAGTACACGAAGAAGCTGTCACAAATATGAACGGGTAGGTGATGATCCTGCAATCGGTCTTTTGGAATGGGAGGGAAAATTGAAAAGAGCTTCAAGTGTACCAGCTTCTCGACTATTCGTATTTGGTTCTTCAACCAAATTAAAAGCAGAGGTTACGTTCCCAGTTGCAGATAATCCTAAGCCTAAGGCGAAGCCCGCCAAAGAGGTTGTCAAGACTCATCCCCTCTTTAGTCTTTTCGACCGCCGACGTAAGAAGAAAACTACTGCGAAACCAGAATTCGCTAGGTACTTGGAGTATGTAAAGCAGGGAGGGATGTGGGATGGTAATTCCAATACGCCCATCATTCATCATAAATAAATATGTAATTGTTTTTTGGTTTCTTTCTTTCTTTAGGAGATTGCAATTTAAGAATCAGAATTTTGGCTTAAGCCAAAATTTACCATGATCTCCATCTGTTGATTTGATGTTTTCAATCTTGTGAAGTATCAATTCAGAAGTGTTAATTAATTTGGTTCCAGAGAGTGGATGAGAGTAAATGCAAAATCTATCTGAAAATAGATTCCACCACCATTTACAAACGTGAAATTTGTTCTCCCACAGATTACAAAGAATTGAGTTGGAAGAGTAAGGATTTATTCTGTATATAATTATAAGAAGAAGATATAATTTCTACGAAACATACAAATCAAGGTGTTTGTTGCTGCTCAAATGAGATTCAATGAAAAATGGCTTATCTTTTGGACCACTCAAACTCAAAGTGTGTACTGTTTGTGGCTGCTCTGTTCTTGTCTGATACCAAACTTTCTCAACCCCCCACAGTGTTTGGAGATGATGAAAGCACACATTGCTTTGTGTTTGAGAGCTTACCAAATACCCACAACCACATAATGCATCCTTACAAATTAATCAATTAGTTCATCTCACCTTTACAGATTATATCATAAACTCATGCCCACATCGGTTCACAGATTATTAATATATTTATTAAATATAACTTGAATAAATTTTTCTTCATTTATACACTAAAAAATTGTTTAATAATGATCATTAATATATTGATTACTTACTAATATATTGAATAAATGCAGATTTGGACTCAATCAACGATTGCATGTAATACATTATCTCAGTACAAATATTATTGAAAATGAAAGAAAACATAAGAGCCACCTGCCCACATCTCCAATACATAAAAGAAATAGAGCTGAGCAACGCCTAGAAAGCACATCTTAAAAGGTACTGCCACTATCACCACCTCAGCTTTTCTGGAAAATACTGCAACAGAGTAAATTTAAATTGTTTTAGAAGAAGTGGAATAGGAATAGTTAAAACATTAGAATTAAATTATATTTCGGTTGCAAAAATAACAACGTTCACTTTCTTTATCCATTCCTTCTTGAAAGGATTGGAATATAAACTGGTGTTTACCTTTTCAATGAGGGAAAGATAGTATGGCTTGACCTTCTCTACATCAATTCGAACTTTGCTCTTGCTGTACAGATCATACTTGCTGCATATTTAACGCAAAATGAATTAGAAATTTCATATATAACAACGATTTTTTTATGCCAAAGCATTATGAAACATGCATTCTTACTTGAATATTTTGAGCCACTTGAGATTCTCAATGTCTTCTTCACTCATTAAGTGCTTATATGCATCTGCCCTGTGTAAAGCTGCAAGATAGATTGGTTCCATTAACATAAATTCGTCACAAGAATGGCTTTTGACACACTAGCTAATGTATGGAAATTCCTCAATTTCTCTAGTTTCTCACCATAGAAAGAATGGTATCTGATTATGAAAAGACCTGCTGACGGTAGAGTAGTCTTATTCTCCTTAGCTACCTGTAAAAAGGGAAGCCAATAATTATGTCATTTGTACTTTTATTAAAACTAAGATAATTATCATAATAATAAGTATACATATCTAATTGGCCACATAATCTTCACTCTAGCTTGTTGAGAAAAAGGATTATATGAAAAAAAATGGACAGTGGTGTGTGCATCATAAAGTGGAAAAGATATAGAGCTACGATCTTTTACAATAGAAAGATCAGAAATAATACCAAGTACATGTAGTCATCATGACCAAATGACATCATCACATTGTTTAGTCCACAGCCTTCTGAATAAACTCCAAATTTAGTGTTGTAAGAAGGATTGTTATAGTCTGGATTCTCCTTGAAATACTGTAGGACCATGCCAAAATGATATAAGAACTATTGAAAGAGAAATTAAATGAGTAAAGGTTCAGGTATTGCAGTTGCTTCATAATGTTTAGAAGAAGTTGAACTTGAAATGCATGAAAAGTAAGACCTTGTGGTGAACAACTGATTCATCAAATGCACATCCAACAGGGAATGTATCACCTGTAATTATATTCCCGGTCAGTAAATTAAGCAATAAACCGTAAACATTCAAATGAATGGAGTCTGTTTTATTTAACAATGTAATCAGTAATGTAGAAAAGGTAACTCACCCACGACTGCCCATTGAGGAAGCTCCCCAAAATCTGGATGCAAAAGGACCTTTCCCAGATCTAAGATACATCAACAAACAAAGTTAACAAACTGCTTCTCCAGCAACATGGCTAAAATCAGTAAATATTAGCTTTCCTAATTAAAATATCAAGAGAAGTTTTACCATGAATTAGGCCAGTTAAGTGAAGCCAATCCTCGTTAGGATAATCTTTGCGAATGGCCTCCGCAGTCTGCAATAAATGCTCTATCTGAGGCTCATCCAGGTCGGGATCACTCTCATCTACAAATTCATTAAGCAGTTCACAGCAGTCCCATATACTCATTTCTACACAATTCAGTTTGCCATAGTCCTCCCTCATCCTTTTCACCTGCCAAAGGATGTTATTCAATGGTATTAAGTTTCCCCACATCATAAATTACAAAAATAAAAATAAATGACAATTCTTGGAATGAAATAACATCCAAAGTAAACTTGCTTACAAAGTCGTACGTCTGGTTGATGTGTTGAGTTCTATAAAACTCCTCAACACCTTTCTGCCTATCACTCTCCACATTATAATCCCTGCTTGACATTGCAGGTTAAATTGGTTATGACTATCATATCGATTCAGGGCAAAAAATATATAGATATAAATCCAAAGGATTTGGTAATTGAGTTGCACTAAATCACAGCATAAAAAATTATCCAATATCTCTTCATAAATGCTGTTAAAAAACCAAGTATTGTCATTCATTATAGTTAACAAACATTGTATCCTTTGTCTGTAACCTTCAGACTTTGCAATACCATGAACAAACTAACTGTCTATTATGTGTAGATAGCATAAATTCTCTAACAACAAGTGAAGGGTGTCTGTCCCGTGAGACCTAATAGACTCATCTACTTCGGATATAAGCAGAGACCCCTACTGTCAAGAACTCAAAAAACTTCTGAGAGAAATTTATGATTGCTAATTTTTAATAACTTTCAAAGAAGTAGATCTGCAAATATTTATTACAATTAGTGTGTTAAATAATAAAAAGGAATGCACAATGAAAAAGCGGGATAAATTCATTTTTTATGGACGAAATTTTACTTAAAAAAAAAAAAAAATACATGTATCATTGTTTGATACAGCATTTTGAACCCATAAATCAACCAGAAAATTGGTTGAGAACATACGATACAGAAACAAATAAACGATGATATCAGGAATTAAAAGAGGAGAACCTGAAATTGTGGCCGAATGAATTTGTGTTGGGGACCGAGAATCCTCCCTCCAAAATCAGTTCTTCTTCTTCTATAGTAACATTCTGCTGCTCATCACTCTCAACTACTCAAGAAATAAAATAAACAATTGAATAAATTAAAAAAAAAAAACTACAGAGACATAAAAAGAAAGAAAAATTAAAATACCAGATTCAGACTGCAGAACAAGGATCGTCATTCTGAATTAGAGAGCTAAACCAGAGGAAAGATGAGTGTTTGTGATGCATTTTGGTGGTGAAAATTGGGCAGTATTTATAACAGCGGGGAAGTCCTTCCCTGAGAATTACGATTATGTGTGTCCTTGCCATATTTTGTTGCCAAGGACTCTGATTAAGTCCTTCTCTGAAATTCTATAAAACCACACAATCGAAAGAACAGAGGCAGTACTGCTATTGCATGCAAACTTTTAGCTGGCACTCTCAGATATTTTTATACTTAACGGGTGCACTCCCCTTATTGCTGACTCAGCTATCAGCTACTTGACTACTTCCGCGGTTGAGAACTATCGGTTCGGACCCATCTGATGTGGCATCCACTCATTTACTTTGTCCTTTTTCAATCTTATGATTTTTTTATGGAAACTTTCTCAGTCCCTATTTATGGAAATAACAATTTTACCGTCCAGAATGTTTCGGCTTACTTTAATGGAGGACACTTATTTTAGAAAATGACATTTTGATCATTTAAGTTGCTCAAAACTTCAAATACCAAACATTTTGTTACATTGACTTAAAGAATTTAGTTGATAGCAGTAAGGTTTTGGTTAATAAATTTTAGTTGACTTTCGAAATTGTGATTCCTTACACAAGCAACGTTGATGTGATTCAATTTTTTTCCCTTTAAGTTATTAACAATGTCTTAAACCGTTAGTAGAACCATGGTTTTAAAACCCGGTCCGGCCCGGCCGGTTGAACTGGTTTGGCTGAGAACTAGTGGCTAGACCGGGTCAGTTAATGTTAAAAACTGAAAATAGCAATTGACCCACTTCCACCTACAGTTGAACCAGCTTTTTTTCCGATGAACCACCAGTCCAACCGGTATAACCCGGATTGCTACAGCAAAATATTAAAAAAATAATAAAATTGAAAGTAACCCTTTTCGGCTTTTCTCTTCTCTCTTCCCCATTTTTATTCGACAAAACCAACACTAGGAGAGAAGAAAAATTAAAAAAAAAAACCCATTAAAAATTAAAATATGCATTTAAAAAAAAATTTGTTTTTTTGTTGATGTCATCATGTTGACCTCACGATCCGACGGGTCAGACCGTTCGACCCGTGAAACTCGTGATCCAATGGCTTGGCTAGGTTGCTCCCGAGGATCGAGGTCGGGTTTTAAAACCTTGAGTAGAACAACACTAAATTGTGCAATATAGTGTGCAATACAACAATAAGCCCGTTTGTTTACATGTTTTGGACAGCATTAAAGAAGCCCATAGCCTTTTGCTTCAATGTTAGTGCATGGGTGTATTATTTAAAATGGACTAATTTTGATAAAAAATGCTAGATATACAAAGACTTTTACAAAGAGTCTTTGTATAAAGTGATGTGATAACTGTCACACCACTAATTTATGAAAAGAAATAAAAAATTGATGTGAAACTAGTGGTGCCACATCACTTTATATAAAGACCTTTTAGCCTTTATACATCTAGTATTTTCCAATTTTTATTAAGCCCCGCTCTAGTCCAGGCTGCATTAACGTGTGACCCACGGGAGACACGTCACGTTAGTGCAGCATTGCTTCAACATGATACAAGTGCGTCCACTTTTGTGTGTGACTGATGACAAAAAAGGGTTGAATCTTTCACCACCTTCTACGGCTAAAATAGATGTTAGAATTATTTTTATTGAATTTCGATAGATCAAGAGTTTATAGTCTCGATGGGACCATGACTTGAAGTGTCACTGTTAATCGGTTTTGTTGTTGATTGATAGTCTATTTCTATTTTTATATTGTCTAAATTTATAAATAAATTATAAAAATTATCTATTTGGGGACGTTTGGATCATATAATATTTTATTATATGGGTATATTATATTAACAGAAAGAAAGATCACCATAAATATTATTGTGAATGTTTAGAAATGTGTTTAGTTTGTTCGAATAAATTGGTGAATAATATGTTTGGTTGGGAGGATAAATTGGTGGGTATGTTATATAGATTACTAAATTACCGTCTTTTTTAAATATTAATATAATAACATTTTTTATTATTATTTTTTGAATCATTTCTTTTAACCCCCTACATTTGAAATTTTGCTAAAACATCTCAGCCATATAAAACTTAAATTTGTAGCAAAATCACCCCCACCCACCCCAAGCCACTGCCGGCAACCAGCCACCACCATCGGTCACCGCTGGCAATCGATGAAATGGTGCACAACTAGCCATATATGATCGGTCGTGCGCGGGCAAAGCCTGAAATGGCCATAGATCACAAATCCATTGTCGAAAAATAGCCAAATCTATGGCCATTTCACAGCCAAAGAAGTGGTCGTGCCATTTCATGGCCACATTTTTTGCTGTGAAACAGCCATAGAAACGACAAATCTAGGCATTTTCGGCCATGAATCATGGCTAGAAAAGGCCTTCCCGGCGCACGACCTGCCAGATCCCGCTGGTTGTGCAGCATTATGGTGACTGACGCCAGCAGTTGGCCGTGGTGAGTCACGGTCGGCGGTAGTCTTGGGTGACTGGGGGTATTTTGTTAACTTTAAAATTTTTTGTGACTAGTGTATTTTAGCTAATTTCTTAAATGTAAGAGGGTTGGGTAATTGTTAGTTGGTAAACATTTAAAGGTAATTGTGTCTAAAATGGTTTTTAATTAAAGGCAAAATGGGTAGAATAATTAGATTACCTCAGTAATGTTTTAATAACACCCCCTAACAATGTAATAAGATTACCTCCCACATTACCAACATTAAACACTATTTGCAATAAAAGATTACCGTAATATTTTATTACTTGCAAACCAAACACATGAATCTTGTAAAATAAACAAAGATTACCCCTATTATTTGATTTACCCCCGATCCAAATGGCCCCTTTAATAAATTAAACGTTGATTTAAGTTTATTTTGTAATTTGAATAATTGTGTGGAGGTATATTTGACCTTCTACAATGTAAAATCAATTTAAAAAATAATGTGATTTTTAAAGGTTACCCCTACAAGCTTTTAGAATCATTTTATAAAACTAATTATTTTATAATCAACTTCAAACTTAATCATCAGTTTCATAAATAGTTTTTTTTTTTTTTTTTTTTGGTGATCGAGGGTGTCTGGATTAGTATGCGTGCACCTCAACTAATCCTTCAAAATCCTGAAATTGACAACCAGATAAACCCCTTAATGATCATCCTTATTATGGCCTGTGAGGATAAGAACTTAGCAACTCATAAAAGTAGTTGTTTATTGAACAATTTTACTTCTGTAATTTAAAAGTTAATTGATTATTTCTTAAACTATAATAATCTCGAACACACACTTAAGTAACACTTAGTTTTACTTATAATAAAAAAAATAAAAAATAAAATAAAAATTGTTTAGTTAAAAGTTATCTCAAAGTATAACCTTCTCTCTCTCTCTCTCTCTCTCTCTCACATTCAAAAAATGGGATGCAAAACAAATAAACAATCCAACCCTAAATCAAGATATTAGCACAGTACAATATATTGTGTTGGTAAAGCTGTGAGGGTGGAGTCATATTAGATTAAAACTTAGATATGACTACATTATATATAATATTCCATCCGTCTCAAAATATCTGTCGTTTCAGCGAAATATACAATTTTTAATGAACTAATGATGGCATACTTCTCCCTTATAAGACAGTATTTTTCTAATGTAAACAAATCCCTATCAATAATTTGTAGACTCTTTTACATTAGCAAAAGCTGACTTAAATTGTCTCTCTCTGATTTTGTCGACTCTTATTTACTCTTCAATGTTTGAAAATTTGACAGATTATCAAATCTAAAACTACTCTTCCCTCTCAAAGTCTGGTGAGAAATTTTTTGGTTTTACTGTATTTTCCCTCTCATAACTTTGTATTACTCCTTCTCTCATTATGCCATTATAGTAGTAACACCTTCTAAATTACAGTATTTTTTCTTTTTTCACCATATTCCATCTCTCTCTCTCTCTCTTTTTTTTCCCACTAATCACTATAGGTGAACAATGTCATAGTAGAAGATATATGCTTGGGAAAATCGATTTGAATGTTCTTCCAATATTAGAAGCTACGAATGAAGTTGATGACATAACTGAGAAAGTTAATATGCATGTGAGCTAGAAAAACCTCACAAATGAACAAAAACAAGCTATTTTCGAATCTTTGTTGAAGTGAAGTGTCAATTTAAGCCATAGAGACAGATTTAAAATTGAGATGAGGGATTTTGAATTTGCTAGAAATAAAGAGCACACCGAGAAACAGAAAAAGAAAAAGAGAGAGGAGACGAGAGGTCAGAGAAAAAGAAAAAGAGAGGAGACAAGGGTTGTAAAACGAGAAAGAGAGAGGGGGTTGCTCAACTTTTTTATAAACGACACTTATTTTAGAAAAAAAAATAATAAGTCTAAAACGACATATATATTGAAATGGAGAGAGTTTTACTCTATGTTTGAGTTTGATGTGTGACGCATCATTATATTAAACATGATTATTTATAAAATTAGTTTATTAAAATTTTATGATTAAGTTAAACTAATTTAAATAAAAAGAATGTTGAAGCCTTGATTATCAAATTTTAAATCAATCTGATCTAGATAAAAATAGTGGATCGGTATTTTAGTAAAACTAGATACTTTAAAGAGATAAAATAGCTAAATAAAATAATTCTTATATATATAATTATTAAAGACTGATAATAACTAATAAGAGCCGGAACAGACTTCCGTTAAATAATTTATGTTCTATGCAAGAACTCCCCTGTTTGATAATGAATTCTTATAAAACGGTTTAGGAAAACAATAATGTTACAGACACCGGTATTTTTATACCAAAATCTCGTATCGACCTACGTGTCCTGTGATTCACACCAACATACTAGATACGTTTCACGTTATTAAATTTTTTTTTAGTGAACGACCGTTCATCAAATATGGACGTTCGTTCACTTACATGGACTCCCGTCCATATTATATTGACAGGGGTCCATTTACTACGGACGATTGTCTCCA